CCGGTACATCGAGGCTCGGCAATGAAGTCCAAGGGTCGGCAATGATCAGGCTACCGGTCACCTGAGCCTCTGACTTGATTGCTGGGCGAGGTACTGGAGGTTTAACTCCACTATAATATTCTTCTCTCAAATTGTTTCACCTTTTCACTATCTACCTACTCAGGCTATATGGAGGCGACCCCTGCACGTATAGCTACTTCTCACTTTGAAGGGGATATTGCATGTCACCCCTTGCCCTAGTGGTTAAGGGTGCAGGGTTGGGGCCACCGGTGGGGTCCAGCCAGTGGTTAAGGGAGCAGGGTTGGGGCCACCAGTCGGGGTCCAGCTAATGCAAAGACCGGGCATTTTGTCAATAGCTGCACCTCCCTTTTCCCCATACCCCATCCCCCATCGAGTAGCAGCAGTGTCCAAGGCCAACACTCTTCCCCCAATCACGCACACAATCCACTCACGTCCAGACTCAAACCCATGTTGGCCAAAGACCCTACTGCTACCTATCAGAGGTATTAAGCAGACTATCACAACGGGTTGGCACTAAGTGCCCCTCATAGGCACCAGCGTCTCCTCTTTTTGGGGGGAGGGTATCTTTGGCGAAACAGTTTGAAAATGCACTTCAGGAAATCCTGCCAACACAACACAGCCCCATTTGACCCCACTGGACCCGAAACCTAGGTTAGATACATTCACCATTACCGGCCTTTTTGCCTCAAACATTCTCAAACTTGAACCCTGACTGCGGCAAAGTTTTCTCTTTTCGTTTACTGCGGCAAAGTTTTCTCTTTTCGTTTCCAAGGCAGACGCCTCGAACATCAATCACGCTGTGAAAATAGATAAATATTTGCCCTATCCAACCTGATCCACTCCTTGCTCGTAACCCCGATGTCTAAAGGCCTCGCCTCGCCACACCACTGTCGACCCAAGAAAAGTAGGAATGCATCTTCCACAGAACCTGGTTCGGTGCATCCGTCACTATTCTTAGCACCAGATGCATCTTGCCATTCTTTGTGGGAAGATGCACACATACTTTTTTCGTTTCAACAGTGGTGTGGGCCTAAGAGGCTCGCCACACAGGCTGTCAAAACGCTTTTAGTTTCGACAGCTGTCAGAATGTTTCTTTGTTTTTTGTTTTTGTTTTTAAAGCACAATTTACTATCAATAGAATGATTAGGAATCCACTCGAGACCGGGGACCTCACAATTCTACCCGGTATGCACTGGGGCCATTACCCAGCTTAGGCTCTGCTGGAAACCGGGTCAAGCGTCCCATAGTTAACACCCACTTTAGCCAGCCTCAGGGAAGCCTGAACCGCCTAGATGGGTCTCCCACCACGCACCCTTCGATCCTAAATAAAGCAATGATTGACAAAAGGATCGCCATGGATACAGTCCGAGTTTGCTTCCTAGCCACTCTTAAGCTGTCTACAAGCTAATAGCGTTCCCACCACTAACGACTGCACTCACACTGCCTCCGTTGTGCCGCTGCCTGTAGACGCGGTGTTGCACCATAGTCATCATGAGTGGAAGATGGGTAACGTGTTTTCCAAGAAGAGAGGAAAATTTTCAACCCAACAAAAGTAGAACCGTAAAATATGACCTCCAAAAGACTAAACCAACCAAGTGTACTACTTAGCAGCAAAATACTTTGTGAAAAACATTTTTTATTGTGAAATGGAATTCCACCTGAAGGAAGCCTCAACCGCCTAGACGGGTTTCCCACCTCGCATACTTGGATCCTGAATAAGAGCAACAATCAATGAAGAGTATCACCATGGATACAGTTCAAGTTTGCTTCCTAGTCCCCTTTCTGCTGGCTACAAGCTTATAGCGCTCCCACCACTAACGGTGACACTCACACTGCCTCCGAAGTGCCACTGCCTGTAGATGCTAAGTCGCGAGTAGGGGACAGAGAAAGTGTTTTCCAGAAGAGGTTCTGTTGAATCCAACAGACTAATCACAAACACGGCAGTTCAGAGAATGATGTGAAGTGTTAATATGACGACTCGTTGACTAGCAGATAATTCGGCCTTCAGTACGGCCTGTCCTGAAGATGCGGGCAGATGCACTACCCTAAATTCACTCGTCGGCCAGACCCAGGGCTTGAAGAGTCAATCCAAGAATTGAAAGAGAGGGATGGCCCGGCTGTAAGATTTGCACCTAAATAGAAACAATCAAGAGATGCTACCTGTTATGACACCCATCCTCATACAAATCCTACAGGAGCAGTAGCAGAAGCTTAATGAATTCGACCTTACTTACCAGAAAATACATCGAGAACAAACAGCAAATAGTTACCGAAGCTCAACAGGCAATCTAGCAAATCCTCGCTGCTGAAATGAAAACTATCCTTGGAAGTTGAAACTACAATTAGACACAGATAGAGGGCCACAACTGAACTGTAGGTACCAAGAGTTCGTATTACCAACGCTCGACAGGAAATCCGCAGTGCACAGTAATTCAGCAGCGCCGCTGCATAATCGTCAACAGTTTTCCGAGGCAGAAGGATTGTAAAACCAGCCTTCATTACAACCAGATACACAGTATGCAGCAAGAAGCGCCGAGTCAAATTCCACGGAGAGACCAAACATATGCATCAGAACAGAGGAAGAGGAAGCAATTGATGGGGTCGGAGTTCAACTAGTCATGAGCATATTGAGAAAATAATCCTGAAATTATTACAAAAAAAGCATGAATCTAACCCCAGTAACGGCTGCCAGTGGATGCAATAAGTAGAAACCTATTCCTTAGTTTTGTGAAAATCAACAGGTAGTAACGGCCAAAAGATATTGTGGCAGAGTACAGAGCTTTCCAGCCGAATGCAGAAACAAGTGGATCTAGGCTATTACTGTGTCTGGTTTCATACCCTTATTAACTTCTTGCTCTTCATGACATATCCTGCCCTTGCTAGTATCAGCAGCAGTCCCACCGCCATTGCAAGCTCTCGCACTTCTTCCGCAAGCACTGCTGCCGTCACTGCTGGCATCCTGAATTACTCTCTTATGCAATAGGAATGATGAGTCTGAGGTTGCTTCTGAAGCCTGGCATAGCCTGCCATCATGACGATTGCCAGACTCCACACAAAATTCTGCTGCATGTGGCCAGAAAATACGTCAGCTTCATCCAAAGTCATGTAGGGTACAACAATGTGAAAGGATCGCAGAGAACGGAACAGTCATCCATGCGTTACTCCCGGATGGAAGCGCCATATCATGACAATGACCAGAGTGCAACCCACAGCTAAATAGCATGAAAACCTTGGTCGTGCCGCTTTCGCCCCAGTGAAAGATTAGGTCGTCATCCTCATATTGGCAGAAGCACCGTCAGGACGCGAACGGGATTAGCCCTAACACTACATTAGCACTAATCCCCGCCCGCTGTTCTCCACTTTTGCCGTTTTCTGTCAGAAAAAATTCAAAAGTCGGCGGTCTACAGATTACCCCCCCTTCACCACACAGGCTGTCGAGGGGCAAGTTTTTGGTCATGGCCAAATGGACTCCGCCTTTCCACTTGGCAAGGCCGTCACGGAACAGTCTCTGACAACGCAAAATCTACTGCACTTCTCGAAAGGCAGGTGGGGCACTTTCAAATTTCCTACCGTTGTTGAGTTTAGAAAACTCGACAATGTGACACCATTTCGACATTAATAAATTCAAAACAAGAAATTAAAAAACTGAAAAAAAAACGCTAGAGGCCAAATGCATTCATTGCCCAAAGAAGAAAACGAGTTTGATGCCAGAGAGCCAAACACAGCTGTCAGAGTTCCTCCGTTTCAGGATGTAATGATGTCTTAAAAAACGAAAAAAGAAAAAGGAAAGGCCCTCAAGTTGAGAAATCTACCCTAGCTCTCCCTACTTTGGTTTCCTTTGTCGGTTCATTTGTTGTGGGAAGGTGCTTATGCTCGCATAAAAAGAGAGGCTGCTAGGTACTTGTGGAAGCCAGGGGCTGCACCCCAGCAGAGTTTCATCTGGAAGGTGGCATGGGAAACAATAGCCTTGGCTAGGTCCCAAGGAGGACTGGGCATTTTGGACCCGGTTCACCAAAACCTGGCTTTTATTGGTTAAATGGGTGATTGCAGAAGGCTTTGGCCCCCGGGGCAAGTTATGGGTGAGACTAGCTGAATATATTTTGTCTAAAGAATGGGACCGAGCAAGAACGTCTGATGTTTGGTTGTGCTTCTTCATTCCCTCTTATGCTGTTAAACGCCCTAAGTCCAGAATGAGGCGGAACATTCTATCGGCGTGGCATAAGCTGTAGCCACAGCCACTCAGACCACCCCAGACGAGGGGAGAAATTCTGAATCAGATCTTATTTGAAAACCAGTGGATTAGACGTGGACGTCAGTAGCAGAAATTTGGC